ACAATTCAAGAGAGATATTGACAAGCTGGAATGTGTCAAGAGGAGGGTGACTAAAATGATCAAGGGTCTGGAGAACAAGCCCTATGAGGAGCGGCTTAAGGAGCTGGGCATGTTTAGCCTGAAGAAGAGAAGGCTGAGAGGAGATATGATAGCCATGTATAAATATGTGAGAGGAAGCCACAGGGAGGAGGGAGCAAGCTTGTTTCTGCTTCCCTGGAGACTAGGACATGAAACAATGGCTTCAAACTACAAGAAAGGAGATTCCCTCTGAACATGAGGAAGAACTTCCTGACTGTGAGAACCATTCAGCAGTGGAACTCTCTGCCCCGGAGTGTGGTGGAGGCTTTCTTTGGAAGCTTTTAAACAGAGGCTGGATGGCCATCTGTCAGGGGTGATTTGAATGCAATATTCCTGCTTCTTGGGCAGGGGGTTGGATTGGATGGCCCATGAGGTCTCTTCCAACTCTTTGATTCTGATTCTATGATTCTATGCTGGTGCCTTGGTGATGCAAATTCCCACTATTAGCTTTTCTACCCATGTTAACCCTTATGAGCATGTGTATGCTCAGAGAGTTCCACTGCTGAATGGCTCTCACAGTCAGGAAGTTCTTCCTCATGTTCAGATGGAATCTCCTTTCTTGTAGTTTGAAGCCATTGTTCCGCGTCCTAGTCTCCAAGGAAGCAGAAAACAAGCTTGCTCCCTCCTCCCTGTAGCTTCTTCTCACATATTTATACATGGCTCTCTTATATCTCCTCTCAGCCTTCTCTTCTTCAGGCTAAACATGCCCAGCTCCTTAAGCCGCTCCTCATAGGGCTTGTTCTCCAGACCCTTGATCATTTTAGTCGTCTTCCTCTGGACACATTCCAGCTTGTCAATATCTCTCTTGAATTGTTGTGCCCAGAATTGGACACAATATAATCTGGATTATATGGCAGTGTAGAAGGGTCCTTAGTTATACAATTATATCCATGTTTGTTTCAGATTCCTGGATTGTTAATGGTTTTATTTGTTTCTTTAGGTGCAAGCTGACCTCCAGCATATAGTAGAATACAAAGTTCTCAATGGGAACATAGCAGAAGCTGAAAAAGTATTAAAGTTCTGCTAACCTGAAGTGAATTGTTTAGGTGAACCTGGTTTAGTTGTTGTCAAATAATCTGTTTATCCAATATGCTCGAACCACAAGTGTTAGCATGAGCTCTCAGGTGGTTTCCAGCTTCTTAGCAACAGCATCTAATTGGGGTGACATGTCTGCAACTATCTTCAGACAGTTCTCACAAGATTTTCATTAATTGCATTTGAAATGTAGTTTTGTCACTCACCTGGAATTCTAATTTGTGGTCTGTGTGACATTAAAAGAAAATGCAAGAATTCCACCCTGGAAAAGGTGACAACTGGCTGGCTTTTTCTGGGGTCTTTTCCTCCACTAAAATAATTCCTCATTCTGTAGGAAGGCAATAATCAAGTTGCCAGATCTTCTAATGACTTGTTCTATTTGTTCCAAAACAGTATGGCTTTTCCATTTATAATTCAAAAACCAGAGGGCACAAGTTTCCTTCAGTATAAAGCTGCTTGACTCTGAGCCAGATTCACAGGATCAAAACACAAGCAAATCTGTCCCAAAGAAAACAGAACTAATGAAGGTGTCCAGGAGGTGGGGGGCAGAGTTATAAAATGCTCTGTGGTGTGGTGGTTTGAGTGTTGAACTACTACTCAGGAGATCTGGAGGCTGGAAATGAGTACAGGCAGTCACCGAGTTGCAAACATCTGATTTACATCTGATTTTCTTAACTCACAGTTAAGAATAGGGGTGAGAGAAATCTACTCCTCAGAAGGGAAATTCACTACTGGAAGAGTTGTCATGGGGAAAAGGTGTCTCTACTGAAACTTTATCACCAATCCTTGCTTCCACAACAAGCCACATTTTTAAAAATCCAATTATCACAGGGATAGAAAGTGAGGTGAAATCTTCTGAACAGGGGCAGAGACAGCAAAACAAACACCACAGGGGAGTTAACACTTCCCCATGCTATCCAAGGCTAATATATATAGTACAGGTACCTTGAGGGCACACACATATTTGGCTGGAATTAAAAAGCATACATGTTCCAACTTACATACAAATTCAACTTAAGAACAAACCTACAGAACCAATCTTGTCCGTTACTTGGTGACTGCCTGTACACATGTTAAATGGTTGTTGCTCATAATGGTGATTGATACTACAAAAAGCTAGTAAATCTCCAGTAACTTTCCTCCTAATGAAACCAAACCACAATATGTGTTGTGTTCCCCATATCACTGCTTGGAGAAATGGGGGCCTTCTGTCTCCTTCTTCAGTGTTCCATTAGTGAGCCATATCTTTCCCCTCCCTGAAAGTACTTGCAGTAGTGTACACAATACTCAAATAATCATAGGCGGCCCTAGGTGATTTTCAATGGTAAGCAAACAGTATTTTGGCACCCCCCTCCCCACCCCAACCAATCACTGATATATATTTTCTGTTCGTCGTGGGAGTTCTGTGTGCCATATTTGGTTCAATTCCATCATTGGTGGAGTTCAGAATGCTCTTTGACTGTAGGTGAACTATACATACCAGTAACTACAACTCACATATGTCAAGGTCTATTTTCCCCCAAGAGCGCCTCAAGAGCAACCCTGGGCAAAATCAACTATACTACAAATGCTTACAGTGAGGGCATTGGTGGAAGGCGGTCTTGGTCAGGGTTGGCTTGATGCGCCTTCCTCTTGGCACGTTTCTCTCACCCTCCATTCGTGCCTCTTCAAATTCTGCAGCACTGCTGGTCACAGCTGACCTCCAGCTGGAGCGCTCAAGGGCCAGGGCTTCCCAGTTCTCAGTGCCTATGCCAGAGTTTTTAAGGTTGGCTTTGAAGCCATCTTTAAATCTCTTTTCCTGTCCTCCAACATTCCGTTTTCCGTTCTTGAGTTCGGAGCTTTGGGAGACGGTGGTCGGGCATCCAGACAACATGGCCAATCCAGTGGAGCCGATGGCGGAGGTCCATCACTTCAATGCTGGTGGTCTTTGCTTCTTCCAGCACGCTGACGTTTGTCCGCCTGTCTTCCCAAGAGATTTGCAGGATTTTCCAGAGGCAGCGCTGATGGAATCGTTCCAGGAGTTGCATGTGATGTCTGTAGACAGTCCACGTTTCGCAGGCATATAGCAGGGTTGGGAGGACAATAGCTTTATAAACAAGCACCTTGGTATCCTTACGGATATACCGGTCCTCAAACACTCTCTGCTTCATTCGGGAAAATGCTGCGCTCGCAGTGCTCAGGCGGTGTTGTATTTCGTTGTCGATGTTGACTTTGGTGGAGAGGTGGTTGCCAAGGTAGCGGAAATGGTCAATATTTTCTAATGTTACACCATTAAGCTGTATCTCGGGAATTGGGAAGGGATTGGCTGGTGACTGCTGGAAGAGCACTTTGGTTTTCTCCATGTTCTTGATGTCACAAGGGGCAATGCAGGTAGGGAATGGTACCATTATGCTCATAGACTCCACATTTTGTGCCACCCAAAAGCCAGTAAGAGTCTGATTATCTAGCAGGAACAGAGTTGGAGGAGGCAAACTAGGGCCCCATCTACACTGCCATAAAAAATCCAGATTATCTGCTTTGAACTGGATTATATAACAGCGTAGACTCTTATAACCCAGTTCAAAGCAGATAATGTGGATTTAACTGTGTGCATATGCAGCCTGCAAAAAAACAAGATGCCACATTTAATGTGCCTGCACTTACTTCGTTGAAGTCATGTGCTTTTCTTCTTTTTCCTCCCCTAGTGATACCTTGTTTTTCTCACATCAAACATGACATTGTCTGAAAAATATTTTAATTTGTATCTTTTGCTGGCACAAGAGGGCACTCTCGGCCTCTCTAGGCTAAGCCAAAAGCTGCTTGTCATTTACATACAACCCTGGATCATATAAAGTATAAACAAATGTCAATCCTTCATGAAAAGCAGGCTGACATTTTGAAATATTTTCCTTTCTATAGAATGAAGCACGTAAAATTTAACCTTTGATTGCTTAGCCTTTTTTCTGGCAGACCAGCTAATGTGCAGAGCCATACACACATGCTATGCAACGGTCCTGGGCGCAACATATAAAGCAGCCTTTAGTCATGACTAGCCATCCTCTGCCACGTGTTACTGTGGCCCAGTCTCGTGAGCTAGAAAATAAAATAATGAGAAAGTGTTGGTTTCTAATATATGCAATGTCTTATGCTTGTGGGAAAACTGTATTTCTTGTTGTTTCTTTGTCAGTGTTGATGTGGAGATTGTCTGGTTTGCCTACTCTGGAACATACAACATATCATTGTCCTTCTTTAGGAGTCGCTTTCAAATCTATGATACTATATCTCTGTGTGTGGATCATATATATCTATCTATATTATGGCTGGATGGCTCTTTTTCAGGAGGGCTTTGATTACGTTTTCTTGCCCTGGTGAAGGGACTTGGACTCGATGGCCTTAAGTATTTTCTGTTGGTCTTGGGGATCTGTGTGGGAAGTTTGCCCAATTCTGTCGTTGGTGAGGTTCAGAATGCTTTTTGATTGTAGGTGAAGTATAAATCCCAGTAACTATAACTCCCAAATGTCAAGGTCTATTTCCATCTGTGTTCATATTTGGGCATATGGAATATTCGTGCCAAGTTTGGTCCAGATCCATCATTGTTTGAATTCAAAGTGCTCTATGGATATAGGTGAACTACAACTCCCAAACTCAAGGTCAATGCCCACCAAACCCTTCTAGTGTTTTCTGTGGGTCATGGGAGTCCTGTGTGTGCCACGTTTGATTCAATTCCATCATTGGTGGAGTTCAGAATGCTCTTTGATTGTATGTGAACTATAAATCCCAGCAACTACAACTCCCAAATGACAAAATCAATTTTTTTTAGTGATGATCGCTCCTTGGGTTAGTAGGTGTCTTCTGGCCAAATTTGGCGGCAATTCGTCCAGTGGTTTTTGAGTTATGTTAATCCCACAAACGAACATTACATTTTTATTTATATAGATGTGTGATATTTCATTGCAATTCTCCAGAGGTCAGAAATACTTTCAGCTGTGTAAAATTATCTAAATTCATCTTGTGTCTCCAGATGTGGGAGGAGTATAAGTTAAAACAAATTCATGAATTGCTATGAGCTATTTTGATGGAAGATATCTGTTTGAAAAATGTAAATAAATAAAAAATAAATAAGCCAACATGTACAAATAAATATAGTACATGCCCCTTCTGCTAAATTATAGGGCCAATATTCTATGTTTTTCCCATTATATTAACTCACTAAAATCCAAATTACAAAGTGTAAGAGGGGAGAATGCCTTTAACCAAACAATATATTACTAAAGAGCAATAGGACGCATTGCTCTTTTCTGCTCACTCATTTAAAAGAAGAAGAAGAGCAGAGGGGAGGAAAGAAAGGAACATTTGTCCAGAACTTCCAACTGGATCTTGCTACTGTTCATGAAGTAAAAAAAATGTGATGGAGTCTGGAACTGGAAGCGTGTGTATCAGGTGCAGGCGGTATTTGCCAAGTATTCTTCTCACTGCTATGCGGCACAAGGACATCAAATTCCTAGGACAGCCTGCAAAGAAAAGTGAAGTGAAAGAAAAGCAGAGTGAGCACACACCGAGAATGCAAAAGAAAACAATAAATCAAACTATAGTGCAAGAGCAGATCCACAACTGAGGTTTATGATCAGTAAAGCCATTTATTTTATAAAGGAGACTGGGGGTGTTTTTAAAAAACATTATAACCCTCCCTAAGGCAAGGCTGGGGTGAAAATTGCTGGAAGAAACATTAACAACCTCAGATATGCAGATGACACCACTCTGATGGCCGAAAGCGAGGAGGAGCTGAGGAGCCTTCTAATCAAGGTGAAAGAAGAAAGCGCAAAAGCCGAGTTGCAGCTAAACATCAAAAAAACCAAGATTGTGGCAACAAGAATGATTGACAACTGGAAAATAGAGGGAGAAAATGTGGAGGCCGTGACAGACTTTGTATTTCTAGGCGCAAAGATTACTGCAGATGCAGACTGTGGCCAGGAAATCAGAAGACGCTTACTTCTTGGGAGGAGAGCAATGTCCAGTCTCGATAAAATAGTGAAGAGTAGAGACATCACACTGGCAACAAAGATCCGCCTAGTCAAAGCCATGGTATTCCCTGTAGTAACCTACGGATGTGAGAGCTGGACCTTAGGGAAGGCTGAGCGAAGGAAGATCGATGCTTTTGAACTGTGGTGTTGGAGGAAAGTTCTGAGAGTGCCTTGGACTCCGAGAAGATCCAACCAGTCCATCCTCCAGGAAATAAAGCCCGACTGCTCACTGGAGGGAAGGATACTAGAGACAAAGTTGAAGTACTTTGGCCACATCATGAGGAGACAGCAAAGCCTAGAGAAGACAATTATGCTGGGGAAAGTGGAAGGTAAAAGGAAGAGGGGCCGACCAAGGGCAAGATGGATGGATGGCATCCTTGAAGTGACTGGACTGACCTTGAAGGAGCTGGGGGTGGTGACGGCCTACAGGGAGCTCTGGCGTGGGCTGGTCCATGAGGTCACGAAGAGTCGGAGACGACTGAACGAATGAACAACAACAAGGCAAAACTTGGAAATATTTTTAATCAGTAATGCCTATAATTTTCAGTGGATTGGGAATGCGAGAAATCCTTACAGAATAGTTATCTGAGAGAAAAATCTTTCCAACACCCAGCTCCTTTTTTAATTGAATGCTCCACTGAGATTCCTAGGTTAATTATTATATGATGTGTGTGTGTGTTCAATTCTGATAATCTTGGACTATCTTTCCGCTATCACACTACAATTTTCTGAAAGAAGGGGTGGGCGGGCTTTTTTTTTGTCGTGTCTGGAGTGACTTGAGAAACTGCAAGTCGCTTCTGGTGTGAGAGAATTGGCCGTCGGCAAGGACGTTGTCCAGGGGATGCCCAGATGTTTTGATGTTTTATCATCCTTGTGGGAGGCTTCCCTCATGTCCCCGCATGAGAAGCTGGAGCTGATAGAGGGAGCTCATACGCCTCTCCCCAGATTCGAACCTGCGACCTGGTGGTCTTCAGTCCTGCCGGCACAGGGGTTTAACCCACCGGCTGGACTGAGAAAGCTGGATTCACCCCCACTAGGCGGTCACCAGTGTAACTCTTACAGCATTTATTTATTAACACAATTTATATACCTTATAATAATAGAATCCTAGAATTGGAAGAGACCTCATGGTCCATATAGTCCAACCCCCTGCCAAGAAGCAGGAATCGCATTCAAAGAACCTTGACAGATGGCCATCCAGCCTCTGCTTAAAAGCCTCCAAAGAAGGAGCCTCCACCATTTACAGCAGGGTCCTCAAACTTTTTAAACCGGGGGCCAGTTCACTGTCCCTCAGACCGTTGGAGGGCCGGACTATAGTTTTTTTTAAAAAAACAATAAAAAAATTCCTATGCACATTGCACATATCTTATTTTGCTGTGTGGAAGGGCCCTTAGAGGGGGTTCTTTCTAGCCCTCTTTAGGCAGTAATTCCAGGAGCAGAGAATGGGAAATCTTCCTATTTCTAGTCTGAACAAAATCTGGCTACCAGTATGAAAATTTTTACTCTTTCTAGCCCTCTTTAGGCAGTAATTCCAGGAGCAGAGAATGGGAAATCTTCCTATTTCTAGTCTGAACAAAATCTGGCTACCAGTATTTAAAAACTCTAAAATTATAACTGTAAATAAAGAACAACACTCAAAGACAGGGGAACTCCAGACAAGAAACAATCAGGGCCAGCTAATCACCTCTCAACAAAGGATTCTCCCTAAAAACTGTCAGGCTATGAAATGGTAATCAAGGTGGCCAATTGAAACATTCATACCTACCTCCAACAGACAAGAGTTCTTTCTCCCACCCTGGATCTTCCACAATTTTCCTAGTTAAAGGTTTTCCTCTGACATGAAGTCCAGTCATGTCTGACTCTGGGGTGTGGTGCTCATCTGCATTTCTAAGTCGAAGAGCCGGCATTGTCCGTAGACACCTCCAAGGTCATGTGGCCAGCATGACTGCATGGAGCGCCAGGGCAGCCTCCCTTGGCTGGCTCACGCTGTCCATCGGGCCCCATGGACAGCGTGAGCCTGCCAAGGGAGGAGCAGGCCCGCGCGGCCTACTTGCGAGTAAAGCACCTCGGAGCAGCCTCCCTTGGCTGGCTCACGCTGTCCATCAGGCCCAGGGCAGTGTGAGCCTGCCAAGGGAGGAGCAGGCCCGCGCGGCCTACTTGTGAATGTAAAGCACCTTGCGGGGTGCTTTATGCACGAGTAGACCACGCAGAGCAGCCTCCCTTGGCTGGCTCACGCTGTCCATCGGGCCCCATGGACAGTGTGAGCCTGCCAAGGGAGGAGCAGGCCCGCGCGGCCTACTTACGAGTAGACCACGCGGAGCAGCCTCCCTTGGCTGGCTCACGCTGTCCATCAGGCCTGACGGATAGCGTGAGCCAGCCAACGGAGGGGCACTGTGTGGGGGGGGCGCTCCTCCTCCGCGGGCCGGATCGGGGCCCTTGGCGGGCCGGAAGTGGCCCGCAGGCCGTAGTTTGGGGACCCCTGATTTACAGTATATAAATACTGTAAATAAAAAAATAAGTAATAGTTTGTAAGCTGCCCTGAGTCCCCCTGTGGGGTGAGAAGGGGGGGGGGGGTATAAGCACAGTAAATAAATAAATTAATAATAATAATAATAATAATAATAATAATAATAATAAAACTTTATTTATACCCCGCTCCATCTCCCCCAGGGGGACTCGGGGTGGCTTACATGAGTCCACGCCCATCAATACAATAAACACAGTATTACACAAAAACATAAAATGCAAAAAAATAAATAAATGCAAAAAACAATACAATAGACAACACAGCAATATAAAATCAAACATCAAAACACAAAGGAATACACTCAATTATTTCATTGTACTCACTCCTGGCTTCTTTGAACACCTGCATGGCTTCTGGGTTTACTTTGACCCTTCCTGTAGTCTCTTCTCCTGGTGTTTCCCATTTCACCAGGTTCAAGTTAGCACCAAAGTCTACCAGGAGGTTGACAAAGGCTACGTCACAGCCATGTCGCAAGACGGCATCCAGCACACAGACAGCAGAGCCCCTGGAGAATCCCTTGATGTTTACGGGGCCGCAAGAGTTAAAATCTGGGTTGGCTCCTGCTTGCAGAAGCAGCCGGAAGCAGGGCAGGTTGTGATAGGCAGCACTGATGTACAGAGGGCACACCACCAAGGATGTGAGGGGCCGAGAAGGTGGGCTGGGGATCCCAGAGGCCAAGGGGTGGTTGACATCCACATCAGCACCATATCTGAGGAAAAGAGAAAATCCATTTTGAAAGATCCTTTTTTGGGAAAGTCTGAGGGTTGCTTGACAAGCACAAAATTCAGTTCCTATAGGCCCCATCTACACTGCGTGATATAGTCAGTGTTGGCTCATATAACGCAGATTGAACTGCAATGAACTGCATTATATAAGTCTACATAGTGATATAATTCAGTTCAATCTTCATTATAATGGCAGTGTAGATCGGACCATAGACACACACCCAACCCTTATAGATTTTGCTGGATGTGATCTCTTCTAAACCTAACCCTGTATGGAAGGATAGGCTTGAACTCCTGTGTCTTCTTCTTAGAACTTAGACCCTTTTGAACAGACAAAACAATGATAAGGACTATAGAAGAAATAAGGCAGGAAATTATTATCTGCCCTGTGGTGTATTCATCTTGGACACAGGAAGACATTAATAAAGTCCTATGGATGATCGGATCAACTGTGTAATAACAATCCAGGAAGCTATGCATGAAAGGTAGCCACTGGTTATTTTCTCTCTGCTTATCATGCACATGTTTCCCTTTCTAGAATAGATGCAATTCTCAGAGTATTGCTAAAAATTGTATGAATTGTCCTACTGATTTTATGCCTAGTTATATGTTCTATGCCTAGTTATATGTTTTATGTTCTGGTAACATGTTGTCCAGACTTGGCCCCATGTAAGCCGCTCTGAGTCCCCATTGGGGAGATGGTGGTGGGATATAAATAAAGATTATTATTATTATTATTATTATTATTATTATTATTGTTGTTGTTGTTGTTGTTGTTGTTATCATATGTTGTTGATTTGAGTTTTAGTTTATGTATGTAAGGCATTGAATTTTGGTGTTATTTTTATGTTATTTATTTATTTATTTATTTATTTATTTATTTATTTACAGTATTTATATTCCCCCCTTCTCACCCCGCAGGAGACTCAGGGTGGATTACATTGTACACATATATGGCAAACATTCAATGCCAATTTTGACATACAACATAGACAGACATAGACAGAGGCTATTTAACTTTTTCTGTCCGCCAGGAGAGCTGTCGCTTTCATTGTCCTTCTGCGACACTGATGAAGTACTTCCGCATTCCCCGCATGCTTTTGCTGGAGTGCTTTGCTGGAGTCTTTTTTATGGCCTCATAAATTAGTTAATTTAGCCTCCCCACACAAGGTGGTACCTAATTTTCCTACTTGACAGATGCAACTGTCTTTCGGGTTGCAAAGGTCGACAACAGGCTACACAACTGGTTGGAAGCCCACTCCAACCCGGGCTGGCTTCGAACTCATGACCTTTTGGTCAGAGTGATCTTAATGCAGCTGACACTCAGCCAGCTGTGCCACAATCCCGGTGTAAACCACTTTGAGTCCCCCCCCCCCCCACCAGGGGTGAAAGAAGCAGTATATAAATAAATAAATAAATAAATAAATAAATAAATAAATAAATAAATAAGAGATGCTTATCAGTATTGTCAGGTTTCGATTTTCGCTGTTATACCAGCTCCTGATATAGTCACATTCAGCCTGCAGTTGAGCTGCTTTGCTCTCTTTGTTGCTGTTCAACAAAATCCTAGTAGTAAGGGCTACTGTGGGGTTATTGTAAACTACTAACAATAGCTATAGGGAGATCATTTCTTTTAAAATACAGCCCTGTTCCCTAGCAACTCACAAGAGTAGCTAGGGAACAGGGCAGTATTTTAAAAGAAATGATCTCCCTATAACTTTACAAAGGTAACTGTTACTATGCAGCTTGAAACGGGGCAAACATGTGCTATGTTTGTCCCAAACACTTTTTCACTTTATGGGGCTAAGGTCCCTTCTACACTGTTATATAAAATCCGAATGATCTGCTTTGAACTGGATTATATAGCACTTGGAGTGCTTCTGGTGTTGCCTCAAGAAGGTCCTCCATTGTGCATGTGGCAGGGCTCAGGTTGCATTGCAGCAGGTGGTCTGTAGTTTTCTCTTCTCCACACTCACATGTTGTGGATTCCACTTTGTAGCCCCATTTCTGAAGGTTGGCTCTGCATCTCGTGGTGCCAGAGCGCAGTCTGTTCAGCGCCTTCCAAGTCGCCCAGTCCTCTGTGTGCCCAGGGGGGGAGTCTCTCATTGGGTATCAGCCATTGATTGAGGCTCTGGGTTTGAACCTGCCACTTTTGGACTCTTGCTTGCTGAGTGTCTCTGTAGATCTTAGAAAATGATTTCTTGATTTAAGTCGTTGGCGTGCTGGCTGATGCCCAAACAAGGGATGAGCTGGAGATGTCTCTGCCTTGGTCTTTTCACTATTGGCTGCTACTTCCCGGCGGATGTCAGGTGGTGCAATACCGGCTAAGTAGTGTAATTTCTCCAGTGGTGTAGGGCGCAGACACCCCATGATAATGCGGCATGTCTCATTAAGAGCCACATCCACTGTTTTAGTGTGGTGAGATGTGTTCCACACTGGGCATGCATACTCTGCAGCAGAGTAGCACAGCGCAAAGGCGGATGTCTTCACTGTGTCTGGTTGTGATCCCCAGGCTGTGCCAGTCAGCTTTCATATGATATTGTTTCTAGCACCCACTTTTTGCTTGATATTCAGGCAGTGCTTCTTGTAGGTCAGGGCACGGTCCAGAGTGACTCCCAGGTATTTGAATGCACTGCAATGCTCCAGTGGGATTCCTTCCCAGGTGATCCTCAGAGCTCGGGATGCTTGTCTCTTCTTGATATGAAAAGCACATGTCTGTGTTTTAGATGGATTAGGGATCAGCTGGTTTTCCCTGTAGTAGGCAGTAAGAGCACCTAGAGCTTCGGAGAGCTTCTCTTCAACCATCTCAAAGCTCCCTGCTTGAGCAGTAATGGCGCGATCATCAGCATAGATGAAGCTCTCTGTCCCTTCTGGCAGTGGCTGGTCATTTGTGTAATTCCCCATTGATGGAATGAGAACAAGCTGTAAAGGTATACATGAGATACAGAAAGAGTAGAATCTAATCCACATTCAAATAGGCTTTGCATTGCAAAACCTTTGTCTGAAGTATTTTGGACAAAAAGAATGGAAGTAACAGGCATTTTAAAAAGGAAATAAAGATCAATTTTAACTCGCCAATAATTGGCGTTCAGTGTGGCTATCTGGTATTGGCATAGTCAGCGTAAGAGGGTGTTCTGCAACCAGAAAAAAAGTTGGATGCGTTTCAATTAATTTTAAACCTGAAAATGTTCCAAAGTCTGCATTTTAATATTGTCAGCCAAGTGTCCTTGCCAGCAGATGTATAAAGTCTCACATCATTACCTTACGCCAAATGCCTATAGTACTACATAAATTCACATGGATTGCCAGTAGCTTCGTGTAGGAAATTTAGAGTTTATACTGAATTAAGAAAAACAGTGCATATTTCTCCAGCACTAAATGTCAAAGACAAGCACACTAATCAGTCATTCAGAATTGGAGTCATTTGAATAATTTGTCCCAACTTTCATACTATGAGCAATTCTGTTTCTTGATGGCTCCAGGCCAAACAAAACGAGACAGCATGGATTGCAACCAAATCCTTACAGATGGGGGTAATGAGATGAAGTGGACTTAAAAATGCCCGGCCGCTGTGACAATCTGGATGAGGACGAACAAGCTGAGGATCAATCCTGACAAGACAGAGGTCCTCCAGGTCAGTTGCCCGTCTGATTGGGGGATTGGGTGGCAACCTGTGCTGGACGGGGTTACACTCCCCCTGAAGTCACAGGTACTTTTTTTTCCTATGTAATTTTGATGATGTTGCTTGTTGTTTATGTTCTGGTTTTATTTTGCTGTAACATGTTACCTTGGTCCCATGTAAGCCGCTCCGAGTCAGGGAGATGGTGGTGGGGTATAAATAAAGATGATGATGATGATTATTATTATTATTATTAAAATACAATGTTTGATACAATGTCCTTCATCCCTACTATGAACTGGTCTCTTCTTTATCCCTTCTGAATAATCTTTAAATATGGACTAAAATCCAATTCCTGGTGCTAATAAGACACATTGAAACTGAAAGAGCCGTGTAAGTCATAGAATCGTAAAGCTGGATGTGTCATCCAGTACAACACCCATCTACCATGCAGGAACAATACAATCAAGGCTTTCCTGACAAATGGCTATCCTGCCACATAACCTAGAACAGGGGTCCTCACACTTTTTAAACAGAGGGCCAGGTCACAGTCCCTCAAACTGCTGGAGGGCCAAATTATAATTTGAAAAAAACATGAATAAATTCCTATGCACACTGCACATATCTTATTTGTAGTGCAAAAAAAAAAAACACTTAAAAACAATACAATTAAAATGAAGAACAATTTTAACAAATATAAACTTAGTATTTCAATGGGAAGTGTGGACCTCCTTTTGGCTGATGAGATAGGATTGTTGTTGTTGTTGTGTGCTTTCAAGTCGTTTCAGACTTAGGTTGACCCTGAGCGAGGGCCGGGTAAATGACCCTGGAGGGTCGTATATGGCGCTCAGGCATTAGTTTGAGGACCCCTGACCTAGAATATCAAGGCAGAAAATCCCACAATATCTCACTGGAACTGGGTTGTCTGAGTCCATACCGCCACATATTCCAGTTCAAACCACATAATGTGGGATTTTATTCAGCTGTGTGGAAGGGGCCTTAGTTAGGGACGGTTCTGAATGCTTCCCACTTTAAGACTTCTAAAGTCTTCCATCATTGTCTTAAGAATTTTCCCAGAAATTGAAAGATTTTACATTGTTGAAGTTCAAGACTATGCTCACTGGGAATTTTCTGGGAGTTGTAATCCAAGGAAGTAACTTTTCCAGTTTTTGATCCTTGCCCATTTTGACCATCCCCTCTCCCTGGAACTTGGAACTTCTTTGATGCTAAACATATCATAAAAGCACTGCTCCCTAAACAAAGATGAAGGGGAATGCATCTCCACAACTTGCCTGATTAGTTCTTTCAAGATGTCCGCCCTGCCCACACGAGCAGCATGATACACTGGAGTGCTGCGATGGTGACGACTCCCATTGGGGTCCGCACCTGCTTCCAGGAGGATCCGAGCACATTCCAGGTGCCCATTCACCACAGCAATGTAGAGGGCGGTTTGCCCTTTCACATCCACCAGGTCGATCTCTGCCCCTTTCTGAATCAGGAAGTCCACACAGTGTCCGTGACCTGCTGTGGCAGCAATTCGCAGAGGTGTACAAGGCAGCCAGCCACAACACCAGACAGATTTCTCATTGATGCGGCTGAAGAAAGGCAAAAACAACTCAGTGACATGATTCATGGATGGTCCTTGCTTTCACCCTATGAACATGCAGTCTTTTGAACTAATATGGGGCAAAACCTAGCTTGTCCGGCCCTGGAAACAAAAAGTATCTGCATCAGTATGTCTTTCTGTGCTTGATGTCTCTAAATAATACGTGGGCAACCTAGGAACTGGGCAAAAGCCCATGCTGTGGGTAATATGTGCAGAACCATCTGAGATGGAATATATATCTTTCTCATCTTCTGGTTAGGAGCCCCGGTGGTGCAATGGATTAAACCTTTGTGCCCGCAGGACTGATGACTGATAGGTTGGAGGTTCAAATGAGGAAAGCGGGTTGAACTCTCACCTGTCAACTCCAGCTCCCCATGCGGGGACATCAGAGAAGCCTCCCACAGGATGGTAAAACATCAAAAACATCCAGGCGTCCCCTGGGCGATGTCCTTGCAGACAACCAATTCTCTCACACCAGAAGCAACTTGCAGTTTCTCAAGTTGCACCTGACGTGGAAAAAAAATCTTCTGGTTGAAAACTGAATGCTATGCTTGGAGAACCTCAATGCTAGGAATGGACGAATCCATCTAAGGCAGCGGTTCTCAACCTGGGGGTCGTTCAGCCATTTTCTGGGGGTCGTGAAGCCGCATTGGCTGGCCATGCCCCCTCCAAAATGGCGGCCAACCCCCTGAGCCACTGGCACTCCGGTGCGCGAAGCCATCCGCCTGTCCGCGGATGGCAGAAGGAGGCGAGCTACGGGCGGGTGGCTCCGTGGACAGCTAGGCCGCACGCGAAGCCATCCGCCCATCCCTCGCCTCCTTCTGATGGCAGGAGGCGAGCGACGGGCAAGTGGCTCCGTGAGTGGCTAGGCTGCGCACGAAGCCATCCACCCATCCCTCGCCTCCTTCTGATGGCAGAAGGAGGCGAGCGACGGGCAAGTGGCTCCGTGAGTGGCTAGGCTGCGCACGAAGCCATCCGCCCGTCCCTCGCCTCCTTCTGATGGCAGAAGGAGGCGAGGGACGGGCGAGTGGCTCCGTGGGCGGCTAGGCCACGGCGAAGCCATCTGCCCGTCCCTTGCCTTCTTCTGATGGCAGAAGGAGGTGAGGGATGGGCGAGTGGCTCCGTGAGCGCCCCTCGCCTGTGTCACTCTCCCACCGTCAGGCAGGGGTGCGGAGCAGGCGGGGCCCTTTGGCACAAGGCCTTGCACCAGACGCCCCTTGCCTGCGTTACGTTCCCACCGGCAGGCAGGGGTGCAGAGCAGGCGAGGACCCTTTGGCGCAAAGCCTTGCACCAGGCGCCCCTTGCCTGCGTCGCTCTCCTGCCAGCAGGCAGGGGTACGGAGCAGGCGAGGGCTCTTCGTTGCAGGTGAACTATAAATCCCAGCAACTGCATCTCCCAAATGTCAAGGTCTATTTTCCCCAAACTCCACCAGTGTTCACATTGGGGCATATTGAGTATCCGTGCCAGGTTTGGTCCAGATCCATCATTGTTTGAGTCTGCAATGCTCTCTGGATGCAGGTGAAGTACAACTCCAAACTACAACTCCTGAGTAGAATAAACAAAGGAATTGCAGTTAGAGTAGCCAAACTGGAGTCCTTGAGTCAAACCAATAGTTGTTTTAGTAGAGAACACAGAGTTGTTGCTGCTTTCACGGACAAAAGGAACTAAGGCCTCAAGCCCTGCTGCCTGGTTTTATTAATAGAGTGGATGGGCAGGGTTGGAATCCGTAATTTGGCAAAAGTTTTTTTCAATAAGGATCCGAATCAGCTGTATGGATGCAGGAAATACCACAGGTGTGGATTTCACAGTGACCACGGTGAAGAAATTGGAAGACGCAGATCAGACGTATGAACCAATATGCAAAGAAGACCCAATTATAACATGATGATTTGTCTTTCACATCCACAGTACCATTCTGTGGAATCCTGAAGCTGACCTTTGAAAGAGTGGCCTTTGGAATCATCAAATAGAGGAATCCATAGCAGTTGGAATGAAATCATAGCACTATGATAGTGAAAAGGCCCCTCAATGCTGAGAGGCCATGCTTCCAATCTTTTCCTGTTCATATTGAGTGATCCTCTCAATATGAAGCCTCACATTTAGACCCATATGGCAAAAGCATGCAATTGATTACCACCTGAGAATCCTAGTTGAGGTTCAAAAAGTTTTCACCTTTGGAAGTCCTCTTCTTGCAACAGACTTCTGATGGTCTGCAAGTCCCCCACGTAAGCAGCGTCATGCAGCCGAGTGTCTTCACAGCACTCAAGGGGTTGGTCACAGAACTGCTCCTTCAGCCACTCCTTCAGATTACGACCTGTGCTGGAGAGACGGTTGTTTTGTTTGACCATGAAACAGTCCTGGCAAACCCAAGGGAAGACAAGACAAGGCATTACCTGAGTGGGAGAGCCTCAAGGGGTGGCCCAGCCTGAACTGTCCATGCTTTTGTGACTTTCCTTTCTAGGAATTTGCTAAGTCCTCTAGGTTGATGCCATGGTAATTTCGGGCAGAAGTACATATATCATAGAATTGTTTTGGGGAACTAGAAAATTCCCCGAGAAGGTGTTTTTTATGGGATGAAGGTACGTAAAACTGTGGTTAGAGGTCCTGCTCGTACTCAAGTCTTATTGTTTATGTTTGTCCAAAGTGCTGGCGTTAGCCCTCAACGGTTCTGGCCCGACTTACCTCTCTGAACGCATCTCCTCCTATGAACCGGCTAGGACACCAAGATCATCTGGGGAGGCCCTGCTCTCTGTCCCGCCTGCATCACAGACGCTCTTGGCGGGGACGAGAGACAGGGCCTTCTCAGTGGTGGCCCCTCGGCTGTGGAACGCCCTGCCTGCAGATATCAGATCGGCCCCCTCCCTGCTAGCGTTTCGGAGGAAAGTGAAGACCTGGCTGTTCGAACAAGCATTTGATTAAATAGTGTAATTGAACATAGGAATGGAATAATGGATGATGAGACTGGATTCTGATTTTACTGTTGAGGCGCTAATGATTGTTATACGGATGTTTAATGATTTGTGTTATAATTGTTTTTAATTGCCCTATACTTGTCTTGTGATGTTTTGTATTGATGTTGTTCACCGCTTTGAGTCACCTGAAGGCTGAGAAAAGCGGTATATAAATAAAGTAAATAAATAAATAATATTGCATTCAAAGCACCCCTGACAGATAGCCATCCAGCCTCTGTTTAAAAGCTTCCAAAGAAGGAGCCTCCAGCACACTCTGGGGCAGAGAGTTCCAGTGCTGAACAGCTTTCACAGTCAGGAAGTTCTTCCTCATGTTCAGATGGAATCTCCTTTCTTGTAGTTTGAAGCCATTCTTCCGTGTCCTAGTCTCCAGGGCAGCAGAAAACAAGCTTGCTCCCTCCTCCCTATAACTTCCTCTCACATATTTATACATGGCTATCATGTCTCCTCTCAACCTTCTCTTCTTCAGGTTAAACATGCCCAGCTCCTTAAGCCGCTCCTCATAGGGCTTGTTCTCCAGACACTTGATCATTTTAGTCACCCTCCTTTTTTAAAAAGGAAGACAATTATAAATACGCAAAACAAGCAAGAGCTTTAAAGCTCTGCCTGTATATCTTTCAGACAACCCTTAAAAGGCATCAGCCATTCCAATTTATTCAGCAATAACGGGTTGCCATAATTTGTCTCTCTGCTTATTGATGCAGTGTGTAGTGTTTGCTTGCCTCCTAAGCGGAGAGTGGGGTGATGGTGTCTCTACAGAATATACCTAATGATGGTGACATTAAAGATCAATATTTGAGTATCCTGGCCCCATGCAAGCAAAACCTGGCCCTTACTCCTAAACCTAATTGGGGTTGGGAGCAATGGGCCAGGCTAGGTGTGTTTGTGTACAGTCTGCATTGTTTTTGTACTAGTTATTTGCTAGATCTTGCTATCAGTGCTTATTTTAGAAAAAACATAAAATAAAAGCAGGTACCAAGGCAGGTACAAAGCTTTTTACAGACACAAATGGCAGGACAGAAGGGCTCCCCCAGATCCATCTGGCAGCTGAGCTCAGGCGCATGATTTCTGACCCAGGAAAGGGACTCAACGTCAGAGGCAATGCAAGTGGCTTTTGACAGCATTGCCCTTTGCCACGGGATCTACTTGTTTTTATGAAAACACAACCAACCAACAAGCCACAATGCATTTGTATAGCTACAATTTTGCTTTCCACACTGGCTTGTT